AATAGTTTGGGTATTTTTTTCGCCCTTGATCTATTGTTCTGAATTTCTCCCATGACATCTGATAATACCTGCCTTCTCATTTCCTGAATGAACCTGTTTGGACATGTAGGACTGGCTGTGAAAGGGCATGAAAGCAGTGGACCGCTGAACAAGCTGGACTGAGCACTAGGATGTACAGAAGCAAACGTCATACAAGGTCATGCAGGTACTTTTAAAAATCTCATCCTGGCACAATGCCTGGGACTCACTGATGTCCAGAGGCTGTGTTGCCATGCTCTCAACGGCGCCAAAACATCACAGGACAAATCACGTGAAACTACTCTTCAGTAACAAAAACACTTCTAAAGCAAAGAAGATGTCAAATGACTGTGGGATCACACACTCAATTATGGTTTTTTGAGCCAGTGTGCACTGGTAATTCTTGGTCAGGGATTCATGGTGAAGGCAGCAGGAATACTGCTGTGCTTGAAACTGCCAATAACCATACACTGGTGGCATCAAAATCAACAAACATTCTAGCAGTGCTTTTGTATTAACCCTCACTGGACTTAAAAGTGTTGCATTAGATATATTCTGCTGTTCTAATTTGAAAAACATGTATTTTATTACCATTTAAAGACTTTCTATATCATTTTATAGGGCACTATAAATGTAAGCTGGCCTAACATTCTGCAAAAGAGGAATCCTAAACCCAGAACCACAGTCGGCTTTACAAATGAATTTTCATTTCTTCATAAATTATTCTCTTCCAAGATTAGGAACACACAAGTAAATCATTGAGTCCACTCTGCTGATTTGACACATTTTTCTGAACAGCAAACAAAACCATTTCTCTCTGGAGTCTGAAATTTCAACATCCATGCTGGTTACCTTTATCCATGAATCAGAAACCTGAACTTAGTTTGAAAAAGCACATCCATATTCATGTCTATATCCTTAACACATGTTTAGGTTACAATATTCCCTGTAAATATTGTGTGGCTCTATTTTTAGTTTATACACGTAGGCAATTCAAACTAGCTCATAATTAATCTTAATAAACAAAACATACGAAGAGTGGACAGACTGTGTTTGCGTGTGTGTAACTTGGGTATGTAGCTAAGGAGCTTAACCCCACAGTCACATCATGGGTCAGCAGCACAGAGCTCAGATTGTTCATATTTGAGTTCGCACTGGATCCCACAGATACTTCTAGAATAATTGGTTGTTTATTTAAATGAGTAAAATATTTCCTAAAAAAAATTATTAATGTTTCACATTCTTAGTTCCAGTGCTTCATTTCCCAGCATCACACATGCATGGGTTACACAAACATAGACAGGGCCAGAAAAGCTTACTTCTTTTTGTATTGTCAAGACAGTTTGATTTGTTTCTTCTCCAAGGAACTTGGAAGCCTGTAAGAAGAAAAAGTGCTGGAAAATAAGAATATAATCTTATATGCAGAAGGAAAAAAGAGCAAATAATAATGTTGGCACTTCAGAGTCACTCCTTCTTGAGTTTGCACTGGATGAATGCTGCAATACAATTTCATCACATTACCACAAGATTTTCTGATTTGGAGTAGGTGTAATGCACTACTGTGCCCACTGAAAAAACACTACAAGACTAGCCTCCAGAATGTCCAGGAAAATTCCAGAAAACCCACCAATCTTGCTGCAATTCATAACACCTCCCTACAGTTCTAGGTACTTCAAGTAAAATGTGATCAGGTAGTAATGGCTGAAGATAATTAGATCCAAATAAACTGCTATATTTGGGTTCAACATGGCTGGATCTCTAGGCAGCCATTCCTTCATTGCATTTCTTTTGTTGTTGCTTTGTTTCAGTGTTGCTTTTTGCTTTTGGGGGTATTTTGTTTGGTTGGTTTTTTAGTTCAGACTTTAGTTACTATAATAACAGAGTTGTAGGCATGGATTTATGTGAGGGGTTTTTTTTAAACTTGAAATGGAATAGGACTTGTCACTTTCTTTTCTACATCATCAGCTACTCACCACTGGTGGACAGCTTTCTAACTGATTGCAGAAGTCAGTGTATTGATATCACTACACAGAAATGGTTATCTCACCATGACTCTGCAGAAGGAAAGACAGTGCTCTAGACAAAGTAGTATGAGAGCGTATCTCTGTTACCATTTCCACAATGTGTCCGTGCCATTGCTACAAAAAATATATCACATGCTTTGTGTGCTATGAGGGACAACTGCAAAGGGATTAGGATTCGGTGACAGAAGCCTCAGCTTCACCACAAGAAATAAAACTTACCTCAGTCATCACAGATGGCAGAACTAGTAGTTTTAACTAGTTTAACATTTATGTAATGAAGCACATACATACATACATACATCCTGGTACCAGGTCAAGGCCCCCTGAGCTCACTTTTTTCCAAGTATGTAAAGAGACAAATTACCACAGAGGATTTACAGTGTATGTACTGGAGCAGAGACCAAACAAGAGATGCCACAGTGGAACTGAAGGAGCTACCATGGCTTCAGGAAGCCTGCAGCCCCATCTGCTCCATATGGCTTCAAACCCGCAGGGGGTTAATACAAAATCACAGACTCTAGCTCCTCCACAGAGACAAAACTAAGGAAGTGACTGTCTGCTAGTGGATATTTTAAACAAAAAAGAAAACATATGGCCTCTGGAGCTATGCTTGCTTTTTCTCCAGCTGGTATGACACAGAGAACAGATAGCCTAGGCCTACAACTAAATGCAAAAGCTTTATTCCAAGGAGCAATTAGGGAACAATTTAGGGAACATGCTTCAATTTTAAAAGTTCTCATATTAGCAAATCAGAGACAAAAACACTGAGAATACTCATGTATACTAATTAGTAAAAACCTTTAAAAGCACAAAATGTCTTAGCCATTTCTTACCTGTGTGACTAATATTTCTGCAAACTACTAAAGACAATTTAGAATTAAATAATTAAGCCCAGCCTCTTCTGTCACAGATGTTAATTTGTAATTCTACACATACACTAGTAATGAGCAAAAACTGAAACTGAATAATGGGCTTAATTCAGAAGGCTGAAAAGAAAGATCAGTAATTTCATTTATAAAACCATACATTTCTTTAAAAATGTTGCCATGTCGATTAAAGCCACAGTTATAATAAACAGTCAATGGCAGTCATGATGCATGTCTTTAAATTCAAGTCTTGAAACATGCTGATAAATACTTCAGAGTACAAACTCATTTGGTAGTCTGGGCCCAAATGCTGAGCCATATAGTGTGTGTGCAGACACAGCCCACTGACTTCTGAACCCCTGTAGGAGTGCCTATGGCTTGTAGGGAGCTGGAGCTGTGCACCGCCCAGGGACAGCAAGGCCAGGAGGGATCTTAAGAAGTCCTCTAGCCCAACCTCTGCCAGAGGATGAACGTGCCTTAAACACTGCCAGTGTATGAAATCTGATTTAACTTTTATATTAAAACTTAAGTAAATGATTTTATAATGTTCTCAGGAAATATATTGAAGGGCTTTGCAAAGTTACTATCAGGATTATTTTCTCCTAATGCCTAATCTGAAGGTAGGCAATTACCTCTTGTCCTATGAATAGGGAATTTGGAGAACAAGGTTTGGGGTTCTTTTTTTACTGTCTTCTCTGCAAAAGCTTTTTACAAATGTGAATACTCCTTTAGTCCTTGCTCCTGCAGACTAAACACACCAAATTCTTTCATGTTTTACACGCAAAATAATGTTGTCTAGTGCTCTCATCATTCTTGTCTCTCTCTCCACCACTGGACTCCTTCCAGTAGACCCCAGCCTCCCTCAAGTGTGGTGCCTGAAACTAGATACAGTACACCAGCTCAGACCTCATTAGAACTTATTAGGCCTAATTAGAGTAAAAGGTTATTTCATGTGAATTTAATGGGGAATGTTTATTTATTCAGTCTAGTATGAAATTTGCTTTTTCACAAAAACATAACATTATTGACCCATAATTAACTTGCCACTCACTGGAATCTGCCTGTTCTTTTCTATAGAATTACAACTAGCCTGGTCTCCTCCAATCTCTTTCTGTTAATTACTTCAATTCAAGACTTTATATTTGCCCTTAATGAAGTAAATCCTACTTACGTCATGTAATTTCAGTAATTAATGTAAGTAACCTCTTGTTCTAATCTATTTCTCCAATACACTTTCAGCTTTTATCAGCAATAATTAAAATGAAGAATCTATTGCATAATCCAATTTATTTTATAAAGGATATAAATTAGCATAAAATTGATTTCAGGAAAGGCCTCCTTATTACATCTTCCTAGGTGACAGTGAATTGTTAACAACAACCCTAAGTACAAATCACTCTTGTAGATTATTTTAAACAATGCTTCCTGCATTGGCTATGCAAACATCAAAAGCAGACTTTACCAACAGCCCCTTACCAAAATCACGATGTGTCACCTTTCCAGCTTCCCCATTCACAAGCCAATCACTCTGTATGAATCACAACACTCTGTCATAGAAGGAACTGTTAGGATTAATCTTTCATTTTCCCTTTTCTCTGATATTATGTGTTAAAAAAAAAGAACTCTTGAATTGAGAAAGACATATACAATTTCTTATACAGGATGAACATTCAAAAAAAAAAAAAAGGCGTATTTCTTTAACAGAAATGCCTACTTCTTCAAGATACACTCCCTGCATCTAGATTAAGATCCTGAATTAAAAGCCAATCACAACTGGCCTCTCTTCTTCTACAGACTGGTGTATTCTGGATCACTCCACTGGTGAATAGAAATTCTTTCCCTATCTGCTACATTTTATTTAAAACACTGCTGTCCAACACACTCAGAAGTAGTAGGTCTTTAGCAGTCTATTTTTATGTACAGGTCATGTTATATAGATGATATAAAAGATTAGTGATGGACACATGCTGGACTAGGTTCTTCAAAGACACTCTGACAAAACCACATTAGGCAACTCTTCAAAGACAGAGAGCCAGACTTCACAAACTTGATGGAGGTCCTGATACAAATCCATTAAATATCACAGCTGTAATAGATTAATCTAAACCACTTTATTTAATTTGTCTTATCTTTAATATTGTACTTGATGTTACAAATAATTTATAATATTTAATTTATAAAATGTTCACATTTCTTTGTAAAACCAACAACAGGTTTAAAGTAAAAATAGCTTTGTTGCGGCAACAGCTTTGTTTAACTTCAACAAGACTGTAATTTTTTTAAGAGTAGAGAAATGTGTAAACATAAATATTCATGATTTTTTTCTGTACACATCTGTGTAAATTAGTTGATATAAATATAATTTACTATAGAAACATTTTTTTGTTTGTTTATGCTACACACATTTCTATGCTGGCATCACATCCTAGTTGATTCATCTTTCAAAGAGTGAGATTTATTCCTTTTGCATTCAAACCCCCGGTATGTCCATTGCCAGCAGTAGACTTCATGTTCAGAGAATCAGACTCACAGTGTCAGAAATTTAAAATTAAACTTCAGTACAAGTTTATAAATAATCAATAATGAATGTATTATTTTAATACCATAATCTCCAGACACTTAAAGGCCATGATCCAAGCCAACCAAAATCAATGACTGTTTTTTCATTGACTTAGCTGAAATTTACCCGCAGTTTCCAGTCTCATTTTAGTTTTACAATTTTATTACAGCATGAAGAGTTAAAAGTACGTAGTATCAGAGCTTCAGTGTAAGAAGTAAAGCCTCTAAGTCTTTCTGGGCCTCTTTATCCTGAAAGAAACAGACAACCATGCATCAATTTAGAGAGGATAAATCCCTTCATTTGCCTAATACGTGCCTATCCACATTTCTTTACTAACAACAGACATAACACACAACTGCAACAGCCACAAAATGTAAAGACTGGATAGTAAGTTAATTTATCAGTGAATACAAAAATAAAGTTTGAAGAGAAAACAAGAGCCAGATGGCGGCCCTCCCTTTACAGCTCTGTTAAAGCACTTAAAATGTTAGCCCACAAATAGCCTTCTTAGCAGACCAGTAAGCCCTTCAGCTTGGGATATAATTTTTATTGATGTACTTTGCATAAAGTATTGCCTTGCCTTATACCTGATGTAATCTTGCATCCTGACCACATGCAGTTTCTCTAAAGATGTTCTGTGATGTTTGCTAATGATTTATTATGCAACTAAGAAGAAAACATTGGGAAATGTAATTAATGACATAGGTTAGATGGTGGTTTCAGAGCATACAGCCATACCTACCTGTGACTGCACCCTCAGTATCTTCCAGACTGAGCTCTCCCTGTGCTACTGGGCTCATGGCAGAGTGGGGCCAATGTGGGAGCAAGAGGCAGGTGACCTGCTGTGCTCAGAGCCAACACTACATTGTTCTCCTAGGGCAGCAGGAAAAGGCTCCTTTTAGGCCAATGTTTTAAGTGCACAGCTTGTATGGGGCTTCAAACCTAAGCCAAGCCTAAGACTGTCTCACAGGTACCCAGTGACATATGTTTTGGCTATTCCATGTATAATCTCCTTGGAAAGGGGCACATGCATATAAGCATGTAACCACAGTACAAAAACTCCATTATTCTACTTATTTTTAAGTGTCCTCTGGATATAATCTGCTTCCTTTAGTTGCTGCTGTAAAACCTCTAGCTTGCAAAATACACCTTGGTTTAAAACAACATTTCTAAAATGTCACCACCTCATGCCTGAAGGCTCATAAGGTCCAAACACCCAACACATGCACCCATGGATATTTAACAGTGCAAGTGAAAAGTGCCTGCACGTCACAGATTTTGTGTAAGTATTTCTAATGACAGGGTCCAGTAATGATAATGCCATGGTATATTCTCAAGGAAAATATTGCAGACAGTGAAGTAATCACTAGATTTCAGGATCACTTCATTACTCAATCAACCAAAGAGCTGGAACAAAATACAGAACATTTTAGAATATATTTCATGGGTGAAGAAATTCCTGCCTCTCTTTATTTTTGTTAGTTGTCTATAATGTCATGGAGGAACAGAGAAGAATATTGAGATGATAAAAACCATATGCCAGACATGTCAAACTACATCATATTATTGGTCTGGATTAAGGCATTAATACATTAGCTGAACACTTCTCTTGGAGTTACTGCCTTACTCCTACTGGCAACAATAGGCTAAACTATCTGCCTAATCATTTATCAGAGGCCTTTAAAGGCACACACTGCAAAGCCTGTAAGCTCTTGCCAAAATACTCTAACAGAAGGAAATGTCATACAGCACTGAGCACCCCTTAAACTCCACTTCAATACAGGCTGTCTGGAGCACCATGCCGTTGCTTTCACCAAAAACTGAAAACTTCAAAATTTTCCCTTAATTCAGGGAAAATACACTCTTTTCTGTACTGACTGTGGTCAAATTGTGAAAACAATTCTAAACTCCATTAAATAAAAAAGTAAAAAGCCAGATATTGTCCCATGCTAGTAAGAAATGGAAAAGCTTAATTATATCTGGTTATACTCTTATGACATTTTTCTAAGTTGAAAATTATAAAGGTGCAGGTTTTCTCATATCTGAATAGTGTTCAGCATTTCTACTCATTTTGCAGGATACAGCATTTTAAAAATATGTCTCCAAATGACTTTGGATAATTGTCTCTTTAGAAGTAAAGGATTATATTGGGCAATGAGCTTTACAAGTTGCAAAGGTCCAGAAAACATTGGGCAATCTTCCTTGAATCTTCCTCTGGGCTTAGGAAAAAGAATGGAACAAAACCCAAGATTGTTCTAAGAACTGTCTGGAGTAGAAACTGCAATTGTGCAAAGCATTCCACCTCTGGTTTGCCAGTTCTAAACAGGACTACATCAGTTAAAGCAGGAATTATTGTTGCAGACTGCTTAACGGGTTGCATTAATTGAGCCAGCAGCTTCCAGTCAATTAGAACTCGTACGGCAAAAGCATTGAAAAAAATAAGTAATGGCATTAAAAACAAAGCTGAGAACAGTCAGTGAAGGGAACTGTTATGTCACCTTTGGAGAGAGTCCTTCCAGACCAAGAGGTGTATCATGCTAAAAGGAGAGAGAAGCCACAACTCTGTTCAGTGTACTAGTTTCTGGTTTTAAGAGTGAAAACTTCATTATTGCCCACAGCTTGACAGCTTGGCTGCTAATGGAAAGAAAAAGCCATAAATCCTGCCTTGGGCCAACTGTCTTCCTTATTGATTTCTGGGTTTGTGGCTTTCTGAAAATGAACAATAAGGTCAGCTATTTTTTTTTTTTTTTCCCCAGACAGCAGGGTTTCTCTTTAGAGTGTGGCAAGCAGAAGAAGAGGTGCAAGTTGTAGGAGGAATGCAATATACTTGTGTCAGTCCCATTTGTTCACCCTGAGGCTTAGTTCAGCACTGACTGAATACACAGCCATTTTCAACCTCATCTTTCTACTGTCAAGGCTTATATTTATTAAACACTCCCTATATCATTTTCAGAGTTGAATATGAGTTCAAAATGTTCTGCAAACTGCTACACAAAATGTATTCAAATTACAGGGTCAGGGACTGTATTTTGCCTCATTCCTATTTTGTTGCTTTACTTTTGTGTTTCATCATTCACAGGGGATATGCACAGGAAAAAAAGACCTGGGAGGCCAGGGACTGAACAAGGGGAGAGAGGGAGTTGAAAACAAGAGCAAGAAGGAAGAGAGAGCTGGTGGGAAAAAGGGAATGTTGGCTTATCTGGAAGTAGTCCACATTTTGACAATTAATTTTTACTGAAAAAAAAATTACTGATACATATACATGGGGAGTTACACATATAAATGTGAATGTAAAAATTAAATGGCAATTAAAGCCAAGACAGAAAGATAATGATTTTACCTTCCATCTCTGCTAATTATTTCCGTATGTGCTAATACACTCAACCCAGGCACTGCACATGTGTGCACTTGTTGACAAAGTCCCAACTGTCAACAGAGAATGATACAACCCCATGACCACAACCAAAATGGTTACACCAGCCAACGAAAACATAATTGTGTGCAACCACTGCCAAATCCCAAGCTGACATGCATCCTGTAGGGTTTCACTGAAGTCAGCAGGGCAGCATGGTATATTAAATAAGCTGGGCTGCAAGGGTGGTCCAAAGCTGTACTCTGATACGCAGTAACAGCAATGAGGTGCTGAGAGACACTCCTGCTTTTGGGTACAGCTGTATCGTTCCCTCACAGCTCCAGGAGAAATCCTGGGCTGTAGCAGAAGAGACTCCCAAGCATGCACAAGGGTTGTTAGAGAGCAATAGCTCTTGTAGACAGCATAAATCACGCAAAGCTAAATGCTATCCTATCCCTTCTTGGTTTCCTGACAGACTCTCACAGATGGTGTGACTGTAGTGTGCACTAACAATTGTATAACACCATGACTTTTCTCCTTTGATATTGCAACACACCAATGTAATCATCCACGTGCCGCCTTCTACGCGACTGCTGTATGTCACAAGCTGGTGCATTCTGTGTTTTTTCATATTATCACTATCTTCTCTGGGGATTAACTGTAACTTCACAAGGCTTTTAGGATCTAGGCAAGCACAGCTTTAAAATATGAGCTTTAAAATATGAGCTTTAAAATATGCAGCAAATAATTACAGATTTTTGGATATTACTTCAAGTAGAGGGAAAATACCCTTTCTCACCCAGAAGAATACAAATAAACAGTTCAGCTCGTTTCAAGGACTACTGTTGAAAAATTACAAAACAGCAGAATACAATTCAGAATAGTTAGTAGTCACGTAAAATTTTAATTGGCTAGTTCTTTCCTGATTTGAAAGACTAAATTTCACCTATGATCTGGTTTTCTTTTACTACTGTATACAATGTGGAGCTTTTGGTGTTAAAGACATTCTCCTCTTTGTGTCCAGCTGCTGCCTCTCCCATGATGGGACCTACAGCTTTTCTTTCTGCACAGTCATTGCTGAAACAGCCTGAACACAATCACACCCAGTTAAAGCCCTCTCAGAAAGGTGCCTGTCAAGGCTTTCCTTCACCCTGTATATTGCCTCCAAGACAACATATTTCAAAATCCCAGGAGTTTGACTTGGCCCAGATACTCTATAAAAATTCAAAAAGGGTTTTTGCCAATTGATTTTGTAATCCTGGATTGTACCACCACCTCTGTGAATACGTCTTCCACTCTGCCCCTGCCTGATCAGAATGCCAATGGAGACACACTACATGGAGGAGACAGAGACACACTCCATACTTTGGGGAACTGGCTGCTGACCAGTCTTGCTGGAGTAAGAACTGTGCTAAAACTGTGTTAGCTTTGATAGGATGTTGAAACAAATACTGTGTGATAGTCAGTTTCATCATAAATATAATAATCTTGATGTTTATCAGGATAAACTTCATCCTTGTATGAAACTGTGACACCACAAAAAAGATCTTCATCACTTTTTGGAATAATTTTCAGAGGAAGAGAAGAAATAAGTTCACAATGCAAACAAGCCTTTTTTCAAGGACTTCAAAAACATGCAGATAGAAAATTGATCTGATCACTAAGAGAAAAATAGACTATTCTTTGAAGTGCAAAATAATGTAAAATATTGGCAGTCTCAAATTATTTTAGCAACTCTTTAACTCTTACTTTCCCCTAGAATTTTAATTTGAAATTTGATTTCTTCATAATGAGTTTTTAAAAAGTGTATTCTCTGAACCACTCACATTTATTGTACACAAAACCACTAATTAAGGAATAGTTTTTTTAAGCACACTCAAAAAATGTTTTAGCTTTGAGCTGGTGATAGCTATTAGGAAATTCTTGTTCAACTCCACAAACAGTACTAGCAGGAAAAGAATAGCCTAGAATTCAAAATTAACACAAATCTGAACACTTCCCTTATTTTTCAATTGAAACATCACTGATTTTTGCTGGCCATTTGGAGGACAAATGTTCTCTGAAAAACATGACATTTTGTATTGAGCTGAAGACGTGAAAAGAAAATATTCTGGTTGATGAGAAAACAAAAACACTTGTATAAGGTTAGCCCAAATTACTCTGTTTCAATTGGTAGTTTTTTTTCAAAAACAAGTCATAATTTGTAACCTTCACTTTAAAAGCAACTACTTTTTTCTCCTCAAAATCTTAGAATGACAAATTACAATAGCAGCTTCAAATAAGATCTGTTGGAAATACCACAACAAGGTCTGCTCATATGACCAATCCATGGCTGCTGGAGTGGGTATTTCTTGTAAAAACTTGAAAATCCAGATACACAAATAGTCTGTTGGAATGGAACAGCTGATGGGTGCTGAAATTTATACTCTGACCTCTCTTCCATCCCTCTGCAACTCCCACTTTTGACCTTATAGACAGTATTAAAAATTAAATTAATAGCCAGGGAAATCAATTATGGTGTTGTACAAAAAAGTGGAAGAAAACTGTATGAGCACAAGTTCCCCTCAGCAGCTGCATTCTTGTGTAAAAATCCAGCCATTGTTGCTGCCTATTATTACATTTATCACCTCCTCCACATGAGTTTCAGATGTCACTGAGGCTGAAGGCAGAGTCTTTAACAAGTCTCTGCTTCCTGCCACTCTACACCTGTAAGAAGTGAACGTCATAATCGTGAATTTCTGTATGATCTAAATCTCTCTTTGTTATTTTTAACTCTGAATTGCCATAATTTCTAATTGCTGGGAAGGACGGAGTGCACAAAATCACCAAAAATTTTGTAAAACACTTTCTTACCTTTAGGGAAGTTTTTATCTACATTTTAAAGTAAGACTTTCAGCAACTCACTGCAAATAAATTTCCTTTGCATTTTTCCTGCTTTCCTGTTTTCATTTCTTCAAAGACTACACTTTTTTGTAATGCTACTGCTGCTTTCAGATTAATTTTTTTTAAAATGTAATAGAGACCAGAACCTTGAAATTTTAATCTCTTTCTCTGTTAGGCTGTTAACTCCTTTGTGGTGAGCTTACTGGTCCTACAAGCACAGAGTTCATTGTCATGCTCATGCTTGCCTCCAGACAGAAGAAAAACCAATTCTGTGACAATTATACTTTATAATCCTACACTGAGACTTGAAATTCTACGAGTTCCAGCCTTGAAAACTTTCAACAATCTTTATTAAAAACAAGAAATTAGGGTCTTATTCCCCTTACAAGCAAAGGACCATGTGTTTAACGCCCCGCTGCACACACACCCCTACCTGTTCTTTCTGTATGTGAGACAGATACTCATGATTTCAAAATTAAATTACATTTTTCTCTTCAAATTAAAAAAAAAGTACTTTTGTTCCACCACAATAGTCCACCACATCTGGTTTCAAGAGCCCTTGACACAGTCACACTCAGCAAGGCTTTGAGCACACTACAAAGTAATGAGTCTCAGTAAGGGTAATGCAACATCCTCTAGATGAACAGAGCAGCTGTTAAGCACTTAACAATAACTCACAGCAGCCCTGAAGACTGGGATCTCTTTTACTGAAGGGGCAAATATTTCCCAGGACCCTGAGGTTATCCACCTGGGTAGCAACTAGAGAAAAACTGGACAATTTAATGTCCCATGCACCTCCAGCAGTGAAGTACCACTCTACACTATTTATGGCCAAGGAAGGACTGCATGATTCATTGGAGGTTTTTTGTTTAGAGAGGATAGAGAAAGGTCTTTAAAGTTACACTGTAGTATCTGCTTTGTTTTTTCAGATGTAATTTTTACCAAATCTCACATATTTCCTTTAAAAAAAAAATGCATGGACTGATAAGTTAAAACTGTGCCAAACTATTTTTAAAAACTGTCCTATTTTTAAAAATCCTCCTGTAACTCTTAATTTACAGGACTCATTCAATCGGAACTTGTTTCTTTTTATATAATTTCTGTGTATCCTTTTTTTGAGATTCAGAATAGGTTTAAAACAGGCCATCTGATTTTTTTTCCTTTAACAAGAATTAGCTATGTTTGGAAATCCCTTTACCCCTTGAATTAAAACATACTCTGTAAATGGTAGAACAGATGCACAGAAGGGAAATTTGGATGTGACATAACATTCAAGACAAAAATAATATCACTTAACTCAAAATGCTACGTGAAATGAATCCTAGAAAAAGTGTGAAAGAAGTGTCCTGAGTTACGGCAGCTAAGAATTTGACCTGAGGATTAAAATGAGCTATGGGCTACTTTACTGATGTCAAGCACCTCTGGTTCCCAGAAGTCACTGGAAACTGTGGATGCTCAGAAGCAATAAAAAGTAAAACAGTGTCTGATAATCTTTCTGCAGGATGATTTTTATAATGGAATACTATATATTTCCTCAACGTGGCACCTTTCCAGCAACTTCGTCTCTCAGCCTGCTCCTGATTTTATGCCTTTATACAAATACATGTCTCTCACTAGAAGCCAACACTTAAAAACAATAAAGGAGTTCCCCTGCTTGAAGAAAGAGAAACTCATATGAGAAACTATGATTACACTTGGGAATGATGGGTTTCACATGACTGTGACAAAACACCACACTGCTGACAACCTTGAGATCCTGAGCTGTGGCAAATGGAAAGAAATCCTCACACTGCTGCTGACCTGTGCTTTTTTCTAGACCACGAACCCCATCTTCTACAGGGCTGCAGTCAATTCAGGCACTAATAAAGTGCATATTAGCATCTCCCCAATGCCTCTTCAGTCTTATTACTGTCTCTTCCCCCTCTTAAACTAATCTCACTAAATGTTATTCCTACATACAGCTCCAAGCCCTGAACCACTTCACTTCCAACACATTTTCCCAAAAATCAGTAACAGTCTTTCTGTAACACAATAACCAAAACAACATGTAATATTCAAATTCAGATGGGATTTGAGGTAACAGTCAGACACAGCAGAGTTCATGTTCCAGATCTCCATTTCACAGCAATTTCTTTCAGCGTGCAGTTGGTTTTTTTCACCCTGTGCTGAGTGCTTGGTTGGTTTTTTTTTAATTGAATTACATACTACTGCCCTAATGCCATATTCTTCTGGACTCTTTTTTTCTAACTCTAACTCAAAACACATCACAAGTAAACAAGACAAAGGACACTAATCTGTGATATCTACAGAACTCGTCAAAACAGGAGAGGTCAAATCACCTTGTCCTCTTCAGACAGACAAAAGATTTTTGGGGCCCATTTGACACTCACCCTTCTGATTACACAAATCAGTGTAATTCTTGTTCTCATCACCACCCTGCTTGCCAAAATACATACACCTATCCCTCAGACTCCTTTTGAATTCCTGCTCTCACCTCAGGGTTCCTTCTCTTTCTCAGGTCTGCTGATACTTCACAAATGTGATGGGATATTAAACAGATAATTTATAGCGGCCTTTCCTATGTTCTGTAATAGGCAAGCTGAAGGAATATTTTAACAGTAAGTAAAGAATAAAGAGAATTAAATCATTGTCAATGTCATATCAGTATCAATACATATTTAAAGAAACACTGACCTTAAGCAAAGATTACTTAATTTATGATTGGTACACACTATAACTGGGGCCAAAAATTAGGCCACCCAGGAACAGCGGCTGGTGAGGCATGCAGGGGTCTTTCTTCCCAGCAGGAACACTTGACATAAACATGTTAGTGCTCCACACACAGCATTTATTGTCAATCAACTTAAAGAGTTGTTTAATGGTCTTTTCCCTTAACTTCAAAGAATTAAATGGGATGGGGCCAATTCCTCTCAGGAATCACCTCTCTTTCTCCATACCACATCTGCTGTGCTCGGAGGGGGTCCCTTAGGCTGAAAAAGCTCAGGTTTGAACTCGTCATGCTCTAGGATGGTAAGATGTTTCCAGTCATAGGTCAGTTATGGAACTTGCTTTTACACGAGATCAGACAGAGTGCACCTTCTTGCCATGACTTGGTTTATATTTGAGAAATTAAACAACTTAAAATCTCCAAAATATTTGTAGAAATTTTGTGTCCAAAAATGTACCAACATGTACCAAATGTACCAAAAATGCTCTAATGGGCCTAAAATACTGTAATGGGCCTCAAGAGGAATCTAGTAACCTCTTAGAACAAACTCTAGGCCAGCAGATATGACTTGAAGAACTGTGCCTCCTTAACTGCCCTGTGGTTGAAGACAAAACCAATCTTAATAACTCATCTGTCTTTGCTGTAGTTAACATACTGCCCTTAACAAGAATCACAAACCAGAGGCTTTCAGGAGCAGAGACAGAGACTGTAGGACAAAAATCCAGAGTGCTTTCAACTGAGGAAAACATAGGTCTGGGGCAAAATTTCAGCACAGCTAGAGTGACACCTTCAACTGCTTCTGCTCAAGATGATCTAATGAAGTGGGTTGAATTACAAAGAGTACAATTCAATTTCTGATACAAACGAGTCCCTGACAGTTCCCCAAACAAAGATTTTTTTAAAGCTGTTGATAGAAACAACTGTTATGAGGCAACCTAGAGTGGAGGGAAAAGGAATGTTCTGTGCTGGGAGGAAAAACTGAAACATTATGTTGTTACCGGCAGTGCAATAATGGATGCCAAAGACAAGAGAGCAGTCACAAGGGAACAAGTTATCACCCTCAATACCCACCTCATTAGTAACTGAGAGAATTGACAGTGCAGAATCACAGCACTTCAGTGCATTGTTTTTCTGGCCAAGATCTTTATAGCACTGAAAAGAAAAAACATTTTGTTTCCAATCAGACCACTGTAAGAACACCAGAGTCTACAAATCATTATTTTTAAAAGAAATTGGTTACCTTTGCCAAATACACATAATTGCATTTGGAATATCCTGGATGCATTTCTTCCGCCTAAATAATAAAAAACAGGAAAGAAAATAGACATAAAACTTGCATGACGAGATTTATGCGATCTGCATAGCATTTTTAGTAATGCACTACATTTCCTCAAACATCAGATTGAATCATCCCTACTTTGTGTAATGCAATCTGTTTAGTAGCACTTCAAAAAAAATCAAGAAAACAAAAAACCACAAAAACCCTAAAGCAGGCACATGAGATGCTGACAGTGAACACAGAAAATGTTCTGTACTGCTTGCTCTCCTCTCTCCCTAAGCACTCTGTAAAGATCTAGGGTCATTCTGTACAAGATCTATTGGATTCATTCACTTACAGGAAAGGCTTAAAGATACCACTGTCTATAGATTATTAACATTTATTTCCTCATCAAAGAAATAAGAAAGCAACCAACCATTCACACTTTGTGTAATGAGTAAAGAACTGTGTTTATCAATTTTACAATTATTTCCCTTCCACAGTCTCTTATCTTCTAGCTTTGGGTTCACCTTTCTTTTCAAATTATTATCTTCTGAAAAGTCCAGGTAATTAAAAAAGTTTAATAATGTCTTTTTTTTTTTTTTTTAACAAATCGAGGCTATAGAAGCTTACAAGATGAGTAAGACTCTTACTAATTATCTACTAACAAAGAATCAGCTTTTAATCAAAGAACAGCTATTGGGAGGAAAAAATTACATCAGTGAAATTTATAGTAGCTGTAATCTTTGGACCAAAACAATGCTGCTTTACCACAACTGTGTAGAATCAAACAACTGAAAAAGAAACCTAAACAGTTGTCTTTTGGAAAGTAATTTGATTTTTGTTGCTGAAGATGACTTAAAACCACAGTCACTCTGCAGCCCACCACAAAATGCCCTGAAGCTAAAGTGAATGTTTCAAATTATTTCTACCACTTTTGGAATTTGACCTTCAAGATAAAATCTCTTAAACTGGGAAGACGGTAATGTATTGTACTGTCCAAAATTCAGGAGATCATTAAATCTTTAAATAGACTAAGAACACAGAAAATAAGCATTTTTAATAGTGAGGAAAAGATGCCTGTCCAATTTATTTGAAAAACTTTGATAGCAATTGTAATGATAGAAGTTTATGCTTTGAATCTAGTTATGTGAAAAACCTGTATGCTTTTGAGCTCCAGAAGCAAAAATTATACATATAGAAAGCAATAAAAGATAGATTTATTTTATTCATGTGGTGTTTTCTTGTGTTCAAATACAATGCCCAGGAATATGGACCTGTATGACAGAACTTTCTTCGCTACTTCACTACAAAAGCCATTTCATCTCCACAAATAAGAAAGGCTTCTACTGAAATTCAATGGAAAATAGTTTCAGATCAGAAAAAAGAGAAGCATCACAATGTCAAAGTTTTCCTTGCATATGTCAACTCTCTTGCAGAAACAGGCAAATCAGCAATTATCACTATCACAATGGTTCATCTGTTTCAGCAGCATATGTAACTCATCTATATTCATATCACATTAAATTCAATAACTATCAACCATGGCAATTAATTGGAGAATTTCCTGATACTAAATACAGAAAAGAAAGGTGCTAACCACTCATGTCCAAACTAACTTTAAAACTGAAAAGAAAAAAATATTTTAATAGAAAGCTCAGTGGTGTTTAGAAGAGCCCTGAATTTATAGCTACTGAACACAGTCTGTTGAACAGACATCCTGACAATACTCACATATAACAGCTGGCAAACAGCAACACAGGAAAACCCCTGGCTAGGACTTACCTTAAGGAAATTCTGCAATGCTTCTTCTACTGTTGAAGTTGGTGGAGTCCCAAAGAGAGCTGCAGCTACTTTCTTTTCAAGCCAAGACAACTGAGCTACCTAGAATTAAAAAACAAACAAACAAAAAATTAAAAAGTGAGATTTCTTAAGAGCTGCTTCTCAGTTTTGCAGTAAATACTGTCTTTCATATTGTACTATCTATACAACATATTTTGGAAAAGAACCTGTAAAGGAATGCTTTATAGTGTCAGTTTGGCCAGCACACAGAAGTCTTTTGGATTTTAGAGTCATATGATCAAACACCAACATCCTCAATATATGGTTACTTCCATGTTCAAAGCTTAAAGTACATTTTAGGTTTCGTATCATCTTTTTTAAAAACCTAAGGTTAGAAATAGTACTTGAAACTTGTTAAGGTTTTCATGAGATAGACAGCTTTGCAAGATAATCTATGCACTTGACTACTTTCCTACATTATGAAAAGGTGTTGCTGCAGTAAAAATGTGAGTGTTTTTGGAGCTTGTATAACAAGTTCATTTATTACACAGAAGCTGGTGACAACCACTGTTAAGAAATAGGCTTCATTTTTAGCTCTTCCAATCTGACAAATAACACTTGCCAATGACCTCATTTCAGGAAGATTAGCTGCTATAAAAGGACTTTAGGGAACTGTCATATTGCCACACAATGCATATGACTTACATACACTGACACCTGACAGAAACTGCTTTGGTCACTGCCATAAGGCATTTGGCTCCATCATCCAACCCTCATATCTCTAGCAAAGGATGGAGTTGCTGAGAAATGCAGTGTGAAAGAAGAGCCTGTTTAAGTGGAGGAGTGAAGCCACCTTCCTTTGAACACTTCTACCACATATGTAAAGAAAAGCCAGGGATTTTTTCCTTCACATCAGTATTTGAAGCACAGCACTGATAGCTCCTGTCACAGAGCAGATGAGTCAAAAAATAGTAAAAACCAAGGTTCTGTATTTTCTGGCCTGATCTATGAAGAGGCAACACAGAGAAGAGGCACACACAGGGCAAAGAAAGAGAGCCTCTCATCAGAGACTTGGAGATGAGATATGAATCACATAGGACATCTCTTTTTCAAAAGGAGCTGCAATTCAAATAACAGAGTTCAGCCTTGAAGTCAAGTCTCTCCTACTGTTATAAAATTTAAAAAGGTTTTGCTGTGTTTTAGATTATTCCTGCCTCATTCCCTGGGTTCTCGATATCTGCAGGGCTGTGCTGCTCCCCCTACCAGCGGCACCTATATCCAGCAATTACCCAGGAGATATCAGTTAATAATTGTAAAATACAAGAATCCACTCTCCCATAACTATCCACAGCTACTAACCAGACTGCTTCTCCTTTGAACAGACATCAAGTTCTACCTACTTCTTGTTGCAAATGAAAAGTACCATTGCAAAGACGAGAAATACAGGTCAGCATGCAGCAGGAAAACGCACAGGGTCATGGTTTCTCATCTGGCCCCAGTGTCTCTAGCTACATAAGAGCAGCATTGCGTGGAGACAGAAGGCATCCTGTACAAGTCATGCTAGCTGCTCAGCAGGGTCCCAAGGCCTTATTTGTTACATGTTGTCAGTAAGTGTCTCACACCAAAGCACTAAATTACAACCCAGAGAGAAACGATATTACAAAAATAAAGTTTTGTTTTCATTCTCTTTCACATACCTCACCATTGAAGCTTCTTCTGAGAACATAAAATGTTTTTTACAAAACCTCTCCAGCAATCATGGAGTTCTTACTCATTGGAGCAACAAGATGTTGTCGCCCCTGCAGCGCTTTCCCACTGTGCTACAAACTGCAACATGCTGCTTAAAACTTCTAATTCTAGGTATAGATATAATTTCCTTCCCCATTTAATTTCTCTCACTGTTGTATAGTTTGTGAGACATATTCTACAAGAGTTATTAACAGAATTTTTGCCAGAGCGCTGTTTTTTTCACATCAATCTACTGTTGCCTTGTTCTCTCTTCTCTTGGAAGAGGAAGGGGGTTTCTGTATTTCTAGGTCCATCAAATGAAGAAGGAGGAAGAATGGGGGGTAAAAATAAAGGGAATATGTTACACTGTTCTCTGCAAAAGCACACAACACCCTGGAGATACACACTGCACAGATACAATTACCACACTCATGTCTGCTGTTACGCAATCATGAGGAAACAAAATTACAGTTTTTCCATGTGGAATTATAATTAACCATTGAAAACACAAGCTCTTCCTGGCAGTTACTTTATTTTCTTATGAGATTTAATCAGAATGAGGCTTTAGTCTATTTTGTCTGGCTTGGGTGCTGTTTTGCACTACTCAAATTTCTAAAAAGCCCAAACATATATGCAGTTGGCCATTTTTATTTCACCATTCCCATCAAGCTAAAACAATGTTTAAAAGTGAAATGCATGTAAGCACATGCACATTTCACACAAAACCACCCACACTGAAAGGAGTTGTAGCGAGGTAGGTGTCAGTCTCTCCTCCCAGGTAACAAGTGATGGAACAAGATGAAATAGCACCAAGGGGAGGTTTAGATTGGATCTTAGGAAAATTTCCTTTACTGAAAAGGTGGTGGAGCATTGGAATAGGTTGCCAAGGTAGTGATATAATCACCTCCCTGGAAGTGTTTAAAGACCTGTGGGGGTGGCACTTGGGGACATGGGTTAGTGGTGAACAGGACAGTGCTGGGTTGGATCTTGATATTAAGAGATCTTCTCCAACCTTGATGATTACATAATTCTATGGCAACAGTGAGGTTTTTCTTTTTAATGTGCACTGTCTCCAGCATTATACTTTGTGACTATTCCAGAGACAATCTGAGAATTCTGTGATGTTTCAGCAGTGAGACTTATATGCTGCTGACTTTATGAACTTGCCACAGCAAGCCTAGCCCTCCATATATGAAGTACCTAGTTCACACAAGTTGTCCAGGTTCCTTGCATGGTCAATACAGAGAGGCACTACCATTAGGCAATTCCTCTTCACCTACATTAGCCTGAGATGAACACTCCTTTCTTTTCTTTCTACAAAAAGGAGCACAGACCCTAGGGATAGCTACAGGCAGCTGAGGTGAATCCCATCACAACGGCTTAACTGTGCCCGAGTCTGTCTCCACCCCTCTACGACTGAAGGGGGACAAATGGAAAAGACCTGTTATATGCAATACACAAAATTGTGTCCCAGAGCAATAACGATGAACAGGAACTTATACTCTTCCCCTAAACACACATAACCAAAGTCCTTAATTTGAAATAACTTTATTTGAGTAACTCTTACACCATGTTCAATGAAATGGAAACATCATTCCTACTATACAAAGTTATTTATGATTCTCTGTGAGCAAGCACAGGGAATGCAACCCCTGGTTTAACATGTGTATTCTGCCCTAGTGTAGTGCAGAATTGACTGCTACACTCAAGGTTACTCCAACAGTGCAAAATGTATCTGGAGGTCCATACAAAATCAAGTATAAAGAGAGGGTAACTGTCATCAACTACAACAGAACCATGATTTCACTTAGGCAGTGTTCCGAGTGGTAGAGTGAAGCAGGTAATAAGGCAAACAACTACTGTTGCAAGTAATAGCTACAACAACAACAACAACAAAATTAAGGAATGAAGATTGGTTTTTCCCTACAGATGATTTCCAAATGTTAAGTGAGTTTTGGTTTTTTAGGTCTCCTAAATCCTGATGTCAGTCCTGCCAGAAGCCTGAAAATTCAGAGAAGCACTGCAAGGAACACTGTGTTTCCACAGAATATCAGGTTTTAATGTACTGGGTCACTAAAGAAACATCACTCCCCAGCTGCCAAACATAAGGAGAGCTACTCCCACCCACTCAAGAGCAACAAACAAAGGCCTGAGGAACCATCAGCCAACTCCTGATCTCCCTTAGAGGTGAAGGGTAGTGGGTCATCTGACAGCCTGGCCTTTGCCAAGGACAGGAGGCCACTCTACAGTATCCCAAAGCAAATAGAGATGCTTGTTTCAACGAACCTCTCCTACAGATCCATCAACAAACTGTCATCCATTTATCCTATACCAAAATCTCTGTTATATCCAGAGATGGAAGAAAGGAACTCCCAGAGTTAAACTGCAGCTGAACGCTAAGTTCATAGTCGGCACTCTTCCATCAGGCCTCTTGTACCTCTGAGGGCCAAAAAATGTGGTTCTCTCCTAAATACTGGGAAAATGAATTTCAAAAATATGCCTTTCTCTTCCTTAGCCTAGGATCAGCATATATATATATATATATATATATATATATATATATATATATACACTGTAAGGAAACTAACCCACCTGAATAGAAAAAGAATCCATGATTGACTTTCAGTCCTAAAAGACATCCTCTTCTAATACTTCTTTGCTAATAGCTCACTGAACACATATCACACAATTGTCTTCCATAAAGGCAAATCACAGCATTGATCCAGCTTCAGTAAAATATTAATGGCACCTAATTAAATATCCTCAGAGAGTTTCTTTTTCTTTTTCATTACAATGTATTAATGTAAAATAGTACTAAATAATTTTGCAATGTTTTGACTTCTGGAAGAGATTAAGTAACTGGACACCAATTTTGGAATATTGGCTTCCAACAAAAACATTATCTTTCTTGCCAGCTGAGGAACCTGGACAATCTGTACAGGCATTTAGGTATTTATCCAACTCGAATTAGGCTTTTCAATTTCCAGTAAGGGAAGCCCACTTAGAGAGCACACAAAAGAACTGTATCAATTTATTCCCTGATGTAACCCAAACAGATACTGGGATACACCAGAGACAAATCCAAAACACGGCATATAACCTGCAGAAGGAAAATCCCAGGAGATCTAATTTTCAACATACTACTAGCATTTACCAGGGACTCTGATCCAGTTTCACAAGTACATGCTAGCTGTTCTGTGCCTGTCCTGTAATGGCAAGTAGACATAAGTCTTAACTAGAAAGTTTTATAAGCTATTTGAAACATTAAAACACTTAACTCCCCACTCCCCCCAACCATACAATTATAAAGAATTATCAGATAATTGTGCCCAAAACTTTAAGGAAATAATTCTTATATACCATGCACCATAGATCCATTTACTTCTTGTAAACACAGCAAGTCTCATAGGCAAAATTTTGCCCACCATGACATCTATGAAATGACTGGTGAAAATCTTGCCTAACTGATTGTGATACCAGAAGTAATCTTCTAGCAGAGCTGAGAGGATTCTACAATCGTCCTCTTTTGTACAGCTCTACTGACTTTAAATGGCAAGAGAAACAAGAAACAGCAAAAACTGATTTTTAGACAAGGTGGTGCACAACTGCCACTGGCTCTGCATCACAGACAAACTCCAGTTGATGTGAGGCAGTGAAAACCCAGCTCATCCTTTCTGCTGGAAGGTGCTATGACATCTTGCATCAGCTTCATTTCTGGCCCAGCAAGAATAACTGCTGACTAAGAAACTCAGCAGTGCTGTACCACTGCTCCTTCCAAAGGACTGCACTACACTGAGGAAGGTGGGAAATGGCAGTCAGGCCAGATTGAACTCCACTAATTAAACAGCTTTTACCAGTACAGCATGCAGTCTTTGCATACAGATTTCAGTCTTCAGTAAATCTTCTGCATCTGCTTCCACTGGTTTAGGCCTGACAGGACTGACAGTTGGACTTGATGATCTTGAAGGTCTCTTCTAACATCGATGAGTCTATGATTCTATACTCTTTACCTCAACATTTTTTCAATGGATCTTCATTTGTGAAAATGAACTGTAGCCCTGAGTTACACTTGAAGCATCCCCATTTACAGTATCTTATGCAATTCCTGCTTCTCATCCAAAAAAATATAGTAATAAGATCTCCTAACATTAAATTGGGAGTGAATGGGAAATATCTGACTATACTAGGAAGACTTAAGTATATCAGATTTCACAAAACTGCTATTAAAACCTATAAAATATCAAAAACGTGGGTTTTTTTTTTAACTACACTGCTTCAGTAAAAGAATATGTGACCAAAATTACACAAAAATACCCTGGGAAGCCATACCTATGAAAGAACAAACATTCAATGGTCAATCCTAACTTGATCCCAAAGTCAGCTAGGCTAAATGTAAAAACTAACCTTCTTGCCTAACTCATCTCTTTTCTGCTTTAATTATCTCACACTGGACAACACCTTCCCAGCCTCAACAACAGTGAGACTGAACATTAAAATCAGAGCATCTAAGAGGAGCATTATCACTCCATCTACAGGTACCAGAATAGATGAATGACAAAGGAATTTTTCAACACTCCATCATAATCCTTACCCTGACAAAGTATTTGGAATCAATGCCACTGCCAACATTTTTCTTTTGGGATAATTACTACAGCATAATTACTACAGAAACTTCACAGTCTGCAGAACAGGAGCAAGTAATTTGGCATACCTTCCACAAGCTCCTATGACTAACACGCACGGCCAAAACCTGGGTTAGTGGATCAGCATAGAAACAATTCACTCTGCTAAACCTAGTGAGGATATTACCAATCTCACTGGGGTAGGGTTAAGACTAGTAATGCCTCAAAACTAATGCTTCCAAATGACCTCATCTTGCTACTGAAAGTGTGCAAAGACAGTAAGTTTTTAGGAGCTGACAACCCCAGAAGTTGAACAAGATGTTATTCAGTCCTATACTTCCATTTGTTTAGAGTACAAAAATCTGTTCTGTGTGTTTCAGGTTACTATTTTTCATGGCAGTCACAGAAGGCAAGAATTAAAAAAAAAAAAAAAAGAACAACAGAAATCTGAATTCAATCCTTACATATTTCAGTGGCTACATCTGTTTAGGTAGATTGTTTCACTCAAATAAATGCAGGTCAGGTCACAACCTAAAGCAAATGCTAATCTGTGGTTTCAGTGTTTAGTAAGGAAGTCCTGCATAGATGTTGCGAGTGTGGGATATGAATTTGTAATGATACAGTACAACAAGCCACATGTATTACTCAGTCAGGAAGTGGTGATTGTAATGAAAATGAAATGAGTAAAAAACAAAGTGCAATAAAAAAGAACTAAGTGAGGTATACTGAGATTGTGTGTTTCCAAAAAGCAGCAGCTCACATGAGAAATAAGCCATGAAAAACATCTGGGAGTATTTGGCGTAAATGAAAGCTGCAGTTAGCTGTTGGGCACAGCACAGTACAAAAGTGCTTAAGGAATCATTGATCAGAGAGATGCTTCTCAGAGGCAGGACAGCAGCATACTACAGAACCATCTTCAGCAACTTATTTTTGCATAGCTAATGCTGATATTCAAGAGTACACTGTGACAAAAAGCAAAAAGCCAAATTCCTTGAAAAAGCTGGTGTCATTCCTTATTCAAATCAACAGAGAAAAAACATGGTTGCTGAAAGCTCTTTGGAAGTTAAATATATGAACTGAAAAACTGCTGAAAGATTACTTTGCATTAAGTCTTGTTGCAGATAAAGACAAAGTCTGTAATGTGTCACAGCAAATCCTTCGTTCCAGTTTGCCGGCACTTTGTAGTGACTTGCATTGGAAGTATCCAAAAGAAAAAAGCTTGGCTGGAATTCACTGTGCATTAGCAGTCATTATTCTGAGAAGACTCACAGTGATTTTTTACAGCATAGACAATGCAAGAATGCTTTCTTCCAACAAAAGATTCTTCGAGGAACCAGTATGGACAGCCAGCTGAGCCCTCAAAGATGTGGATTACCAAAAAGACAACTCTCTTATTAAAGCACAAGCACGATTTTTCTAAAAAACTTATTAACAGTTAATCTTGCAAACCAATTATTCTATTTTTTCATATATGAGTACTTATCACTACAGAATCTACTACAATCTAACTATAATCTTTATAAAATATAAATTAAAATATATAACTAAAACCATCTTTAAAAGCAGCTGTTGTACCAGTATGACACAAATTGCATTTCTTGCAAAACTCATTGGTGAATTACAGATTTTTATTCATGAATATTATTTGGACATTCCCTTGGAATTTACCAAGCCAGTATGGTAGCCTTGCTGCCACAGGCATTTAAATGCCTTTAACTTAAGTTATGGATGGGAAATAAAGTCACCACAAGGCTATGTTACCAGCCCAGGTCCACCCAGAAAATTTATGGCAGAACAAAGAAGTAAACTCAAGAGATCATCCTTCCTCCCTTCCAAAAATCAGTTACTTTTTATTCATTCATTCAGATAAAAAAACCTGAACACAACAATGAGGGTCATGCAAGCACAGCTTACCTAATTACATTGCAGGAATGATCAGCTGTGAGCATCATGCATCTGGTAGTGAACTCAGGAAGTGCAAATGTCTGCTTCACTTAGCTCAAAAAACATCTACTTAAATAAATACCTGCTTTATCTTAAGTCCTACTATTTAATTGTAATTTTCTATTATACTCAATTCATACTTCAGATAAATAAAACACAACTTACTGAATAGCACCATCTTCCATTTAGGTAATATAAAAAGGGATCTTGAGGCTTAAGTTCAATTGCCTTGTCTAGGTGCTCCTATTGGAAAGAAAATTAGTATCACTTTAGATGTTCATTTGGCAAGTGTGTTTACATTCTAAGTAGTTTGCTGCAAGTCAGGAACAAATTTAGAAATTCTCTTCTGCTGCAATTGTCTTCTAACAACCTAAAACTTTAACTAGCAAATCCCTTCCTCATGGAGGGAAACCACAAAATTATTTAGCAACGTCGCACGCAATGCAAGAAGGCATGCTGTATTTGGAACATGACTAAATAGCTCTAAAGTTCAGTCAAATAATTCAAGAACTTTTGTCTTAAAAAGGCAACAACTTCAATTAAATTAATTTCATTTATAGGTAGTATTAGGAAACTATCACAGATCAAATCAGTGAGGAAGTTACTACTCTTGAACAGATCTTACATGCCAGCATCCCTTACTGAAGCATAGTCCCTTCCACCTTGGAATGTGACAGCCTCAATGAAATGGTACTTGACACAACCAACTGTTATTATAATGTGAAATTCAGAAAATAAAATGGTTCTGTTTATAGTGAAACTATAAAACCTATAAAGTATCTAATGAGGTCCTTTCAAAATCATTTTCATTTCAGGTCATGAGTACCTTTATTTTTCTCTTTAATTTATCAAAGAAAGCTCTTATTGCTCAACCTTAGCTGGAAGAAAAAATAAATATTTCAGCCCTACTATTTGCCTCTTAAAATAAATTTCATTCAAACATTTCTTTTTTCCCCCCACATACGTGTCTTCCTAATTAAGCCAGTCAAAAAAGTATTTGACTTACACATATATAAGAGACTACTATATTATCATATCCACAACTATTCAGATAGGAGCTATGTTTTCATACTACTATCCTCACTAATCAACACATTTCAGGATTATTTGTGAGGAGCAAAACTTCCCTGAAACAGCTACTGCTCACACCACAGTGACTCTTTAAAAAACTCCATCCTTGAACAGCTGCAGCACTTGTGTTATTTGTCATTTTCCCTTTATTCCCAGTTTATCCCAGTGCTTGGGGCTTAGCTTGCTTGGCACAGCTCAGATGTAATTAATGCTCTCTCAAAGGAAAGCTCTGCCACACTCCAAGTCCTAACACGGACATGATGTGAGAGGAGCCCATCCCCGGCATTCCCCAGGGACTGGAACATGTCTGTTGCCTTTCACTGTCACCCAGAAAGGGGGGACGCCAGCTTGGAGGGCAAGGGATGGATGGAAAGTGTCTAAGCAATGCTGAGGACATGGAGGGGGGGAGTAGCACATATAACACAAACAGCTAACTCTAAAAAACACAATTACCTTTGCAAGGACAGAGTTTAAACAAACATTACTTAAGAGCAACATGAAGGATGACTGCAGAACTGTGTTAGTTCATTGCTTGCTGTTTCATATGTTTTGGTTATCTAACAGAGTCATTAATGCCTTTCCTCCCCGCTTTGACTACAAAGGAAATCAGAAATCTTAATGCTGTTCCCAGAATCCTACCTCAATTTTTATATTTTGCAAGCATATAATTTATTTTCATACATAATAATAACCTTTTCAATTTAACTTCAGCACCAAAATAGACCTGTGAGGCTGAATTACTGTGTTGGAAAAACCTATCTTTGACACTATAAAAGGAAATAACTTAAAGGAATAGCTTAAACAAAACCAACCACAAAAATCCTACAAAAACATACCTTAAAGAGATAACCATTCCTGATTTTGTTTTGTACACTTTCAAACTGAGACATATAGCCACACATAATTGCAAACCTGAGAGGGGAAAAGAAAAACACACACACATACTTTTTGTGATTTAAATAAAACTTTGAATCACATTACAAAATATTTCAATACCTAATGTACACATTTACACCTTTTTTTTTCCAATCTCAGTGGCTGGATGGAAGTTTGGCATGAGCTATAAATATTCAGGAACAGACAAAAACACAAACCAAAACAAAACAATGGAAACAAGGAGAAGTTTAAATGACAATATTTGGGTTGTCAGTTAAGTGAAAAAAACAGATTTCTCTTCCAAAATTTCAGCCATTTAGTTCAGAGTGCAACACTTCCAGACTGGCTCTACTATTGACAATAGTTTATCTTGACACATTGTGCTCTGCGCTTCACTGGGAACGTGAGCACCAGCAGCTGCAGAAACTCACCCAGGAAGGCAAATGCTTGGGGTGTGCCCCGTAGGAAGCTATACACACCTCAGAAACATTCACAGTTGCCTTCCACCTTTCTCCAATACCCCAGTGCACTCCTGCACTTCTGACATTCTTCTAGTGTCTTTAAAATTTGAAAACATATGCACACATTCTGCTCTAACAGGATCACTACTGCCATTACTAGATGTCTATTGCTAAGATCATTATTATTTCTATTATTATTACTATGATTATCATAAATGAGTGGTAAAAGAAACGTGAGATAATTTCTATAAAATATTTGTTAAACACTTATAAGTGAAAATATTTTCAGAGGTAAACCTAGACTGAGATCTCCTAAGCAGCACTATTATTGACACTCCACCTAAATTTCTATTGCTTTCTTCTTATTTCTTCAACAGTTATAGGACCTCTATGCATAAGGAATCTCTTGCACAGATATCAATTACATTTTCCTTGGACCTATTTTCATTGGTATTAAGACAACTTTGCATCTCTGTGTAAAACTAAAAGAACCACCAAAGAAATAGTTAAGCAGCAAAAACTCATGTAGATTATTTTTCTAATATTTTTCAGAATTTCGCTTTTTTATCAAATATTTTACAATGCAACACCAAACAAAAATAAAAATTAATCCTAAAAGAAGGAAATCCAGTTGAAGTCCAGTGGAAAACATGCGTTATGCAAGAAGCTTATTGAGTTAATTGTGGTAACACAACCACAATCTGCATGACACACACAGTTTGTAAGCACTATTAAACATCAGCTTTCTTGAATTTCTTTATCTAATGTAATTATTCAAGCTCCAGTGAATCCTCATTAAAATGTCATTGCTAACACAACTCAAGAAATTATTTTACTGCTTACAGTTATACCTAATGGTTTTAAGTCAGAAATGCTCATCCTACAGGTTGTTTTGGTCAGTAGTGTTTTGGTTAGTAAATGTTCCCAGGTAAGGCACGGAGTCAGCAAAACAGCAGCTGAGCATGTAAGAGCTCCAGACAGACTGTTAAACACTGTTGAGCAGGGTGTTTGTTGTGACCAACGTGCACTGGACAAAATCCAGCTAATGGCAGCACTAGTGCTGACAGAGCTGCAGCCAGAGTGCATTTCCTATGGGAACGAGCTGCAGTTGAGGGAAAAGGCAAGGGGTGGGGTTGAGGAAAGTTCAGGTATTTAGAGAGAGGGGGGAGGTAGTGAAAACTTTATTAGGGTTAAGTAACTCAGGCAACATTGCCCCTATCCCCTTCACTCATTAAGTGCTAATCAGATAAACTCAGCATACCATAGCTAAACGGATTGCTGCTACAAAAGAAAACAATGAAAAGCGAACAAGCTAATCCAGCATCTTGCAGTATTTCCCTGTCTGTGCGTGACAAGAAAGAGGGCCTTAGTTTAAACTAGTTCAAAGAAAAACTTCTACTTACAGCTAAAATCTCTTGGGAGGGAAATCCCAATGAAATTTTCACTGAATTAAAAATAAGCTAACCTACTAACTTTAAATACCCATTATTTTTCCAAAGAAAAAAATAAAAATGTCTTTCATAACTTTATTGGTTTTTTAAAATTTGGTTTGGTTTTTTTAATTTTATACTTTTGAAGTGGACTAGACAGCCAATTGATAAAAAGTAATTATTTAATTTTTGAAATTCTATGGCATTTTGGATATTCATTTTATTTCTAAACAAATCCCCCAAACAAAACAAAAAATATGTCCTTTCTTTCCTGAGAAGAATTTTTAGACATTTTAAATAATTTTCAAAGATTTTAAAACACCAGGCAAACTTTTATTTTCAATGGTGCAAAGGGTAATGTTAATCATTGAATGGTCTATATTGTCAGGGACCTTAAGGATTGAGTTCAACTGTCCTGCCATAGGACAGTTGAACACCTCTTCCACTAGATCAGGTTGCTCAAAGCCCCATCCAGCCTGGCCTTGAACATCTCCAGGGATGCCCATTCTCTGAGCAATCTGTTCCAGCGCCTCACCACTCTGATGGTGAAGAAAATTACCAAAGAAAAAGAGGCAGGGAGTAACTAGAAACGCTTCCATCTGGTTCTTTGCCGTTCTTTCTACATCCCTGGCGCTCCGTGGTCACCTGCCCCATCTCGTGGTGACAGGGGGAATACTGAAAAGATGAACATACAACAACGTGCAAATGCCTAATGACATGGGTAAAAAGCCCATCTGTTAGAAGTGCAAGCGATAGTGCTTCTCTGCACAGCCACTACCTCCCTCACACCCTCTGAATATCAGAGTACTGCTTACAGAACTTTCATGGACAAAAATAAAGAGGAAATCGTATCAGCAAAGAGCTGCCAGGAATGACTTCTTTGCTGAGCTGATGTTACTCCTGGGCAATGTAAAAAAACAGCCCCAGACACATTAATCCAAATAAACACAACCATAATTGCCTCATCAAAACCAACACACAGTTGGTATAAAAAAATGTAATTCCCAGATGAAAGAAAAATTACTGAATACAGTGTAGCAGCATATGATTAATCCCCATAATTAAACCTTTGTTGAGCATAAACACAATCAAACTCAGTATACAGGTCACCACCATGTTCCTCCATTAGAAATGATGTCCTCAAACCCAAGCTTGCAAGAAACTCTTGCTGACAGAGATGGATGCCAAATACCTATGTACCCATCATGCAGAAGGTCCTGATCAAAGAGAATTAACATTTTCCCTTCTGGTGCTACATGTGTATTACAGGAAAAACTGTAAGGGGCATATCTTACCAATTGCCAAAAAAAGAGAAGCAGGTTGATCCAATGATTTTATCAAGCCAATTTGAATTCTAATACCAAAAATGATACCTACACTTAAGACTTTGTCATCCACAGCTTAATCCACATGAGACAGATTTACAGAAAAGATTTTGAAGTCTCAAATGAAGATTAAGCCACACTAGGGCATTTAAATATAGCATTATTTATCTTTTCCCTGATAAAATTCACATGGCCAAAACCAGAAATAACATGCACCTTTCCAGACTTGTTCCTTCCTCTCCTATATACCCAAATCTAAAAAAAACCTTTTATGCCACAGACTTTGGAAATGTGTGGGTACAGGTCACATTTAGAAATCTAGATCTCCATTTTAGCATCTCAGTATCAATAGGAAAGGAAAACATCAATTTTTTAAATTGTATCCGACAAGACTTTGCAAATGGGAGGAGAATTTGCGATATTTATCACCACCAAAGTTTAATTCATGTGTTTCATAACTGTTTTTCACTCCCTCCTCCTTATCTGAGAAATATTTAACATGTAAAGTAGTGTGAGCAAAGGCTAATGCGTGGGCAGCACACAAGAGGCCCAGTGAAAAGAAAGTTCATTTCCACTCCAGTTCTAAATGTGTTCTTGCATCTCCCCACCTCGGCATGGATCAGTTCTGTGCATGCCATCTTATATTTTGGCCCCCAACTCCCTCACTCACCAGTTTCACCCACTTATATATTCCGACGGTCTCTGCAATGTAGTGAGATCCACAGGATTTCCTTCTGATATTATTTCAATGAGATACCAATTTCTAAGTAGGGGAGATTTTGCAACTGAAATTACTGATTATGATCCCTGTTGCATTGCCCTGCCTGAGATCCCAGTTTTGCATACGTCATATTGTATCACTTTGCTACCAAGATATTTAATCTACAAAAATCCATCTGACACAAAGTTTCCATGGAAAGGTAAAGTATTGGTTTGTATTGGTATATGATCATCCCCATGTGGATATGGAAGCAGTGCCTGAGAATGTCTAAGATTGCCAACACACCAAGTAAGATGTGCCAAGGTGCAAAGTGAAGTGTTTAGGTGATTTTTTGTTTGCAGAGATTTTTTTGTTAATGGAAATTTCATTTCCCTGGGAATATAACTGAGTCTACACTGTAGAAATTGGCAGAAATACACTTTTCATATTAAAAATTCACCAGAGCATTGAAGCTGAGCTCCAGGGAAACATCAGACGTAGCACACACTTGTGTAGGTAACGCTTGCAAAAACATGAGAAACAAACCCCTACTTTGGTTTAAAAAACCTCAAAGGTAAGGACATTAAGAATTCTGGGTTTATTTATTGCAACACATGTAGTATATCAAATCAAGGGAAAATGCTGCTGTTAATGTGTATTCACAGAAGTTCACCAGTAGAACATGTGGATGCCATGTTCAGCATTCCTTAGGCTGTGAAACCCACAACTGTGTTAAATTCCTGTTTCCAAAAATTTAACTTTTATTTTTATAACAGACAGTTGTTACAGATGGAAATACAATCTTGAAGAAATTAGCAGGATAGTCTTCAGAAGTGTAGAAACAGAGTGAAACAACAGAGAGACAGTAACACAACAATTCTCCTTGACAGAAATGTAATAGGCATCATTAGGTTGTCAGAATTATTTCCTCTGTGATCATTCTGGCAAAAAAACTTGTAGTAAACAGATCTTTTCACATGTCAAACCTTCCTCCTTTGCACTTGCATGAGTACGCTGCAGTGTTTCACTGATCCACTTACTTCAGTACAATCTACAGCTTTTGAGAAATGGCTTCTGAATTTGAAATTTTCAATTATTTAAAAAAAAACCCAATTATGTA